TACATATATGGATAGGGTTACAATACACCTAGGGTGTAACTAGGTTAGTTACACCTATCTTTAAAAAAATTTGTTTCACCATCGATATTAACGATCAATACCATTCATTGTGCTCTGCATGTCACTAAATGAGCATGGATAAAAAATCATGTGGTTTGGAAAGTTTTATCCTATAGATAGGGTTACAATACACCTAGGGTGTAACTAGGTTAGTTACACCTATCTTTAAAAAAATTTGTTTCACCATCGATATTAACGATCAATACCATTCATTGTGCTCTGCATGTCACTAAATGAGCATGGATAAAAAATCATGTGGTTTGGAAAGTTTTATCCTATAATTCAAGCAACTCAAAATAATGGGCATTTTAGATCGTTACAGACCGTTCATTTCTAAGTCATTAGACTAGAAAAATCTTATCTATGTGTGTTTTTGTCTCCATAAAGTTTTGAACACATATATTACACTAAACGATGTCATCGTAATATTTACACTCAAACTATACTTACAATTGGCTATAACTAAGTTAGATACACCGAGCTAGTGTATTATAGCCTACCCTCTCTCTTTATAATATATATATATATATATATATATATATATATATATATATATATATATATATATATATATATATATATATATTATATATATATATATATATATATATATGTTAATGACAAATACAACCTTCATACATTTGATATAATTAGATATACACTATTAACCCCCGCCCAAAAAAAATCTGATCGGGCCCTTGGATGAACAGATTAAACTTGTGTGTTGTCAAGCCTTTGTGAATATATCTTCATTTGGTAATCTGTTAGACCCTAGAGGGGGAGGGGGGGATGATTAGGGTCTTATGCTAATCTATTCTGATTTTATGCTAATTAAAACTAATTAACAAGTTATCCTAACAAGTATAAAATACAACAAGATATATGAGCTAGGATAAACAATAAGAACAAAGAGATATATCCTAGCAAAGAGATATACTATGAGATATATGTAAGGATATATAAACAACACAAGGGTAAATAATCTAAATTAAAGATACAATTGTTATAGGGCAATATAAACAATGCAAACACACAATATGATCACGGAGTTCGGACCTTCCTGTTTCTTTCAAAAGTCGTTTTCATTATCGATTTCATTATAACTTTAGTCGTTTATAACGAATTCAAATAATAAAAGTAAAAGATTATAACTTTCTTGAAAATAAACACAAGATTCGTTTATCGACTCTTGCTTGCGTGGGTTTTTGATCGGTGATGGGGATGTTGATATCCGTGGACTACCAAGTGACCAAATCAGATCCGAAGCTTCGTCGATTTACGAAGGAATCGAGAATCCGAAGCAGTTATCTCGGCAACAGGGAGATAACTACTCTTCTTAAGATTACCGCAACGGGGTAATCTCAAGGGAAGAACACGGGAACTGCAGAACTGATGAGAGCTTCTTCTTCGTGTTGATGAACTCGCTC